TGCATGGTTAACTCTGAGGTTAGCAGTCTGTTCATGTCTAACAGCTTCTTCCAGTACACTGCACAACTCTTGTTGTGGTTATTGCTAAGTGCTGTTGAGTCAGTTCCAACTCATAGTGATCCTGTATAGGGTTTCCAAGGAGTGGCTGGTGGGTTTGAACTGCTGAACTTTCAGTTAGCAGTCCAGTGATTAACCTACAATGTCATACCAGGACTACAGTTCAGAATTATTGTTAGGTGCCTACTCATAGTGATCTTATATAGGGTTTCCGAGGAGTGGCTGGTGAATTTGAACCACCGACCTTGCAGTTCTAAACAATCTTGCAGTTGAGGGCTTGTCCTACAGTTCCCAATAAATGTAGCGTAGTGGTTACGAATCGGGCTGCGAACCGCAAGGTCCGCAGTTCGAAACTACCAGCTGCTCCGCGGGAGAAAGATGAGGCGATCTGCTCCCGTAAAGATTTACAGCCTCGGAAACCCTGTTCAGGGTCGCTATGGGTCGAAACCGACTCGACGGCACTTAACAACAACAACAACAATTAGGCATAATACACACAAAACAACTCTGGATTCTCTATGTAGGATTGACCTGGCATTGGATTCTGCTATCTTTCAGGAAGAACTAGTAAGACCTCAGTCAATCAACTTGGTCTGGATAAGGTTCATGTCTGAAAGTTTCTTTGGGTACTGCCAACATTTTGCTGGTATTCTCTGGATATTCCATATGCTTGCTTCTTGTCACACTTAATTTAGTGCTTAGGTTTTGAGTTATTTGCCTTTTCTTCTCCTCATCCTTTCAAGAGACAATTATTATGCATCCACTATATGCAGACATAGAGTTTTAACCTTTGGCTAAACTTCGCCTCTCCTACTTTGGACATATTGTCCGGAGGAAACAATCGCTGGAGAAGGATGTCATGCTGGGTAGGGTGGAGGGTCAGAGAAAAAGAGGAAGACCCCCAACGAGATGGATCAGCCAGGTGGCATCATTGATGGACTCAGGTGTGGCAGCGGTAGTGAGGTTGGCCCAGGATTGGACATTGTTTTGTTCTGCTGTGCATGGAGTCGCTATGAGTCGGTTCCGACTCGATGGCACCTGACAACAACAACAACAATATGCAGACATAATAATAAGAACTGAGGAACTCTGTAAGTATTAGCATTTGCAGAAATTTGTTAGTTTGAAATAATGCACACCTCAAAGCTTACTTTAATTATCTTTATTTTCTCCTAAACAAGTACTTATTTCAACCAAAATTTCAACAAATTCAGATCCATTTGATTTCTTAATAGATGTTTTTGAAATGTACTATATGAAATATGCAAAAAGAAAATAAAAAGCTTCAAGAAAATGGTGGTGGTGGTGGTGTGCCATGGTGTTGGTTCCAACCCATAGCGACCCCATACAAGTTTTCCAAGGCTGTCAATTTTTACAGGAGCAGAAAGCCTCATCTTTCTCCCATGGAATGACTGGTAGTTTAAAAATGCTGAGCTTGAGGTTAGAAGCCTGACTCGCAACCACTAAGCTTATATATATGACGACAAGTCAATTTTCTTACGAATGCAATTTTCAATTTTCTTGGAACTTCTTTCTAATAAGCCTCTGTGATTGTCCTGAGTCTTTTGAGAAATATCTATCAAGCTCACTCCTTTGCAGCCCCCCAAAACAGTCACCATGAGCTTCTCAGTTGACCTCTGGGCCTTGAATTTAACTAGCTCAGCAGATCCTTTGGAACCTTTGTTCTCAAGGTACCCTAAGGAGACAAAGACAAATGAATTACTGAGAGAACTTGTCTGCAATCATTCACACTTCACGCAGCCATGCTAAATACTTACAAAATCAATCAATCAATCTGTGCATGTATGAACTGGAACCCTAGTAGTAATACTTTTTAACTTATCTCTATATATGCATTTAAGGAGCTCTGGTAGCGTAGTGGTTACGAGTAGGGCTGTCAACCTCATGGCCAGCAGTTCGAAACTACCAGCTGTTCTGTGGGAGAAAGATGAGGTTTTCTGCTCCTGTAAAGATTTACAGCCTCGGAAACCCTGTGCAGAGTCTCTGTGAGTCGGAACTGACTCCACGGCACATAGCAACAACAACATATATGCATTTACATACCGTGTCAAAATACAAAATCTGTTTCTTATTGGATCATGCTCATAAATTTGTGAAAGTTGTAGGTGTATATGTAAAACATTTGAATACTTTTAAGATAACATATACTGGTTCTTCTGGTACTTCCTTTAAAGGTGATAAATTAAAAATCTACCCTAGACAACATTAACATTACAAATTACTTGGTGTGTCCTTCCACCAATTTGCTGCACATATGAAAAATATTTTCCTGCTTCCCACCTACACTGTTAGATCATAAATTCTGCACATATGGCCCAAACACCTATGCAAATCCATTACTACACTTTGCCTGTCATCCTGCCATATTTTTTTTCCAGCTGCCCAGACTTGCTCTACAAGATGATGATGTAAATCAAAATACTTTTCCCCTACTCAGTGGTAAAGAACTTTAAATTTGGAAGCTTTCCTGTAAGTGCCTGTGGCTTACTCAGCTGTTCACTACACTAATGAAAGTCTATTTTATATTAGACTTTTATTCAAGAGTGGTTTGATCCCAGATCAGAGAGTTTTGTCTGCTCCCTGATCACAGACTGCCTTGTGGCCTAGATGGGTCCAAATTAATCCATCTCCCTTAGAGAAAAAGGGAATTTATGTTTCCTGAGAAATTAGAAGACTCCTTTTTTCTAGATGCAATGTGCAGATTTCTCTTTTCCATGTTAATTTTACCTGTCTGTATTTCAACGGGACACCCTTTATGGAAAGGATATCATCTTTTATTTCCATTTCCCCAGCATCTGGTATTGTTGTTGTTGTTGTTGTTAAGTGTCATTGAGTTGCTTCCAAACTCATAGTGACCCTGTATAGGGTTTCTGAGGAACGGCTGGTGAGCTTGGACCACCAAACTTGTGGTTCTAACCAGCTTTGCAGTCCAGCGCATTAATCCACAGCACCACACCAGGATTTCAATTGATAAATGCTGATTGGTCAAATGACTGAGTGTATTTTGCGAAAGAAATGAGAAAACAGGCTCAGTGAGGGGCAAATAGATAAGATGCAACTTCACTGTTGTTGATTAAAATCAGTGATATTTTTACTGTGCGGCGTCAGCGCTTTTACAAACATAATTCCAAAGGTCTACACTACCAATAAGGAGCCTGAGTTGTTACCATTGCATACAAAAAATATGATGATAATCATAATGTTCATGATGATGCTGGTGAACATCAACTACTGTAAAAGATACCTTCTTGGAGCTTTGTCTTTAAAAGGTGGAGCTATCACGAGAAAGGCAAACAACAGAGATATGGAAAAAGAACAGAGAGTACGTACACTATGTTCCAGTGCCTCTACTTTTCTGCACAGTAGTCCTGGTGTGACACTGTGGGATAAAGTTCTGGACAAAAGGT